GGACGGAGGTCAAAGAGAGCCGTGACTCGAGATGGCGCCGTCTAGCTGGAAGCCCGGTCATGAATCCCCGAATCCTTGCGCATTGTGACAGCCTAGACACTGCACAGATGATCTATGGATCCGAGCTAAAGGGAAATACGCACCCCCACCTTATTCGGTAGTGTAATATAGCAGTTGCAAGGCTCAACACACTTATTTAGTATGGCGGTTGGCCAGAGAAGGAGCTATAAGAGAGGTGATGTAGGAAAGGGAACGCGCATAAATAGTGGAGAGCATCCGCTTCTCGAGGCTGCTGGTGCCAGCCCACGCTGAGGAAGGTGTAGTTGTGTAGTAACGCTCTTGCTTTCGGTAGTGCACGGAGACTTTATGTATTGTATTAGAGATTGAGTAAACACCAGTGAACATTACTCTTGTCTTGTCTCTATCTATCTCTAGTCTATTACAGAACCTTTACAACGGTAGCGCGAATCACGTCTACACTATATATACATGGTTGACGTGACACATTCGTGATATTGCTGTATATCGTGTTCGTTTGACTGAGTCACACCCATTCTACTGGTCCACACACTCATTCGCTTCTCAGCTCACGGGCTTGGGGCCTATAGATACCACTTTCCTTTATCAGTCCACCCGTGACTGTTTTATGGTGGTTATAGTCCAAAGTGAGCACCCACCATGATCGCTTGGCAAGAAATTGTATACGTCAGTAAGGGCGTGGTTTATATCCAAACCGGGGGGGGGAACAGCAGGACACTGATTTCTGGCGTAATATTCATTTTACATTTTATAACATTGACTTATATTTAGATTTCGATTAGATTTCGATTTAGACATTTAGATTTCGAGGCTAAGAACATAGACGAAGCATGAAATAAACTTAATGAATTAATATATTATTATTATTATTATTATTATTTATTTGTTTTAGTTAAATGAATAATACTTGTATACGCGACCTAACAATCGCCAAGGGCATCTTATATAACTTACTACAGTACCACGTTACATAGAAAAGGCTCCGGCTAGACAGCTACAGTTGTCCCATAGTTTCATTGGAATGTGTCTTAAACTTTCTCACTACACTTTAGACCATGGGCTGGTACAGACGACGCTGCATGATATATATATATATGTGTGTGTACACCAGGGCAACTGGTTCCATTACCATTTCTGCTTATATTTTATTTTTATTTTTTATTTTTGCATTTTATTATAGAGCAATGTGTTTGCGGGCCCTCGCGAAACGTTAAAAAAAGACGGAAGAGGAGATTCAGAAAATCACGAGATAGAAAGAAACCGTGATATTATCAGGAGTGAATAATAATAGACCTATTATTATTCACTCCTGATATTATTATATTAGATATTACATGAAAACATTATTCTCATAAGATCGATAAGATTGACGTTACAGTAGAATGTACCTATGCATGCATGCGTGCGAGTGTGTGTGTGTGTGTGTGTGTGTGTGTGTGTGTGTGTGTGTGTGTGTGTGGTGTGTGTGTTGTGGTATGTTGTTTGTCTGTAGTATTGTGTTGTGTTGTTGTTGTGCTGTGTGTGTTCTGTGCGTGTCACGTATGTGCGATGTGTGTGCGTGTGTGTGTGTGTGTGTGTGTGTGTGTGTGTGTGTGTGTGTGTGTGTGTGCGTGCGTGCGCGCGCGCGTGTGTGAGCATATGTGTGTGTGCGCGCACTTGCATGCGCGTGCGTGTACGTAAACAGTCGACAGAATCACAGAGGTCCCCGCAAACTTTCATCATCATAGCCAGTGTTAAGATGACAGCCGAAAATCCACCTCGTCACAACAAACAACGTCGTCGATCTATAACTCGTAATCGTTCACGAATCTGTCGCTGGCGACGTGCGCCGACGGTGGCCGCGACGACCCATGCTGCGACTGCGGCCGCGGCGTCTGGCCGTAACCCGTGCTATCGTCAACGTCCCAGCACGTCGACGGCGCCCGCTGCGATGGCGTCTGCACGCGCGGGATGCGAGGTACGGCCTGGACTGCGTCATCGTAACTCTCGTATGCGCTGTTGGTGTGTGACACGGGCACTGGAGCGGTCGTCGTGGCCGGGACCAGGGCGGATACCGCGGACTTCTTCTCGGCTTGGCTCTTCTTCTGGAACTAAATTTGCCGTAGGTTTGATGACGGTATATTAAGATTTTACTATATACTGTAACTGTTGTATATATATAGCAAGAGTCCATAATAGTCCATAATAATAAGTCGAATAATAATATTAATAATAATAAGTCGAATAATCATCTATTATAGACTCTTGATATATATATATATATATATATATATATATATATATATATATATAACGTTATATTAGTAACATAATAATATACCCGGTTATCTATTCTCTCTCTCTTCTCTCTCTCTCTCCTCTCTCTCTCTCTTCTCCTCTCTCTCTCTCTCTCTCCTCTCTCTTTCTCGTCTCTCTATATATATATATTATATATCATCTCCCATATTATATCGCGTTGATCGCGTGCATGAGAGCAAATGAAGTAACTGACAGTAGCTAGTGGTGGCGTATTTGGAATGAATGACAGTCACTCGTCTTCATTTTATGATTAAAGGGAAGCTTCGGAAATTAAAGGACGTGGCATCTTCGTGGCACTGGAAACACTCGCCACCCCAGCGGCGACTGGTAATTTGAGCAGAACTGGAAAATCGTTATGAGGTTTTACCATTTATGTTTTTTAGTTAGGAATGCAAACAAGTTGGAATCAGGAATTCGGGACAGGCAGTGTTTTTCAGATTCATGGCGCGCTCGGTTTCAACTCTTTGGCCACCCACAGGCATTTGGAGCGTGTTCAACTAAAATAGTTTATGCTAAATAATACAAATCTATTTACTTACAAATCTTAATAGGTTTCTCTACTCTCTATTCACCTATTATTCGCGACAAGCCGTGTGCAAATGCTCCAGCCACTGCATTTACACAGCTACGCCACGAACGCTGTTGCACGCTACTGGCAGTACTGCACATACACATAAATATAGAGTGTATGATTAGCCTCTATATTAGATGGATATAGAGTTATATATGACGAGTTATTATAAACGAGGTTGGACTGTAACGAGGTTATAATTACGTTAGATATACAAGTAGGTACAATAGGTACAAGTAGGTGAGCTACTAGTTAGGATAGTTTAGGATATTATATTACGGTTAGAAAATATAGCTCTAAATTTATGTGGTAAAGTGTCAGTACTGCCGAATAGCGTGCAGCCAGGTGCGTCGGTACCTGGGTGATGGCAGTGGCTGGAGCATTTGCAAGCAAACGCCTATATTGTCGGCAATAATAGGTGAAGGAGAGTACGCCGCACCTCAACGCACACTCTCTGGTAGCTAATAAATTTCGTATTTATTTATTCATGCATATTTTTATTTGAAACGCTTCAAGTGCTGTGATTGGCAGTGGGTTTCACACTTATTGCCAGTGTTTTTCAGATTCATTTGCAATGTTTTTCAGATTCCCATTTCCAGTGTTTTCAGACTTCATTTGCAGTGGATTTTAGACTCATCACACTGGCAGCTAGTCTTCAGACTCAGTGGCAGTAGCCTTCAGACTCATTGTCAGTGAGTTTCAGACTCGTTGGCGGGACAGTTAAAACGTGGCCAAAGGGAATTAGTTTACCAATACGATTCAGGAGCAAACAATGACAAGCGATGAATGAAGCAGACGAGGAGTGAACACAGGACTATCGCCCATGCTGAAAAATTCGGCTGTCTCTTACTGCGGGCTGAAATTACAAACACCTATCGTATAGGCATGCACAATCTTATTATTAGTAGTACGAACGGTAATTTAATATATTTACGACAGTGGGGCCGCGAACGAATTTTACCGACAGTGCAAATACTTACAGGGGCACGTAGCGAAACGATTTCACGATTTTACAGGAAGACGAGGGAGCCAAAATGCAGTAACGAGCATTGGGTGACCTATTTAATAGTTAATAATGAAATAAATATTTGTAAAACTGTTCGCCATCGAATTTTTCTTATTACATCGACAAAATATCAGAAGCGGGACATCAGGGATGCACTGTGCAGTTGTGCGGAGATCAAAGGTTGTGCGTCGTGAGCTCACCTTTCATTATCGCACTACGAACTCCATGCTTTTCTTACGAGTCGTCATCAAAATTGCGAGTTTGACGTCTTTACTCGATATGTAAAGCTGAGTCAGTACTCTGCCACTGCTCCCGAGTTCCATCGCCAACACGAGTTGCCCGGCAAAACATCTCACTGCCAGGGAGCTGCTGCGGTATATCCGTTCGATCAACTCGGCCTGTTTTAGCAATACCTGGTGTTTCAACGTCCAGCGGCTGCAGGCTGCATGTTGTTGTCGTTATCGACGGGAGCGCGCTGCCGCACGGCCACCTCCTCCTCCACTCAGCGAAGCGTCACACTTTGATAATAAATAACCACGATAATTATTGGCAGCCATGACACTGACAAAGTTCGATCAGGATCTTTATCCTAACGCTAATTCGATAAATAGCAACATCTGACATGAATATCAATCGATTAAAAATCCTTTATTATTTCAATTATTTAATTATATTTTTTATATTTACTAGATTTAATTTGGCAATTTCAAAAACGTTATATAACGTAGATAACTAATGTATATTCAAACATTACCTGAATCGATGACTTCTCGTGTCTTCATAGTCATCTATTAATATGACTTGTCTCATACTCATAGACATTATCGAAACTGAAAATTGTTCAGAATAGCGCAGTGACTTTTCTCGCTGCCACATAACGAATTGAGAATACAATACTATACGTAATCACTGCTCCCTCGCAAACATCGTAGATCTACACTTAGTCTGGGCGGTTGTTCGTTGATCACGAAGATTTGCCACTCGTGGGCCTATTTACGAACCATATCTTCCAGCTCTTTTTTGCATTACTTGTAGTCGTCGTGTCGCTCGGCTTGAGCCGGCGTGTGCAGGTCTGTGCGTCATGGCGGTATGTACGTTAGCACCGAGCAAGTGCGCGGATCGCGTCACTTCCTTGTCGTCTGGTCTGGTGTCGTCACCGGCTATGAATTTAAAACAATAAATAAATACAAACACAACACACACACACACACACACACACACACACACACACACACACACACACACACACACACACACACACACACACACACACACACACACACACACACACACACACACACACTGGTCGGCGTTGTCACTTCTGTGGTCGAATACAAGTCGAATAATGTCCGAGCCATTATAGCATTTCCAACAGTATCAAATCGTCATAGATATTATAGTGAACTTTCCCAAAAATATTTACAATATTATTAGCAATTCAATACGCACAGCACGAAATTAACCTACAAGCTAACAAAATCCTTGCGCAAAATCTCAGAAATTGTATTCTTTCGTAGCGCTACCTACTTCAGTTGGTTTGGTAAAGCCGTCAGATGTACTATCGGTCATATTTTCAGTCCCGTCCAATGGAGTTGAAGATTCCACCGGCGTTGACGTGTCTGTGATAGACGATGTCACTTCTGTAATCGGCGTTGTCAATTCTGTTGGAGGTATAGTGTGTATAGTAAGTACCCAACAGTATACGTATCTGTGAAACTGTACAAATTTCCATTTTAATTTTTTCCGACAATATTATTTTTTTGGTCATAAATGTGACGTCAGCGAGGACGCCCGTTCGCGAGAAGGGCACACAGGCACTTGGAACGTTTCAGTAATAAAATAATTGTGTAATAATACTTGTGTATTGCAGAGCAGCAGTTGAACGGCATTTACAAGAAAACTATTGGTGATAATAGGCGAAATAGAGTAGAGAAACATTAAGACGTTGGTAGTGAATACATATCGTGTTCATTTAACAGCATTTCATTATCGAAACGTTCCAGGTGCCTGCGGCGGAACCGCACCTACCTAGTTCTGTCTCGCAGTGGTCACCCGTGTAGCCCGCCTGAGATATGCACACGTATACCTCATATTAATGATCACACGGAAAAAACAAAAACTGACCGGCAACGCGCGTCTGCGGTCGGATGCCGTCACAAATGTAACGTCAGAGAGGACACCCCGTTCACGAGACATCGGGGCACTGCACCTACCTAGTTCTATCTCGCAGTGCTCTCCCGTATAGCCAGTTTCACATACGCACAGGTATTCGCTCGGGTCGTCCTCCGCAACCTCACACACGCCGTAGTTACAATCGATTCCGTTGCAAGGGTCGCTGACATTGCACAGCGCACCCACGTACCCATCGAAACAGTCGCACGTGAACACGTCCGGAAAGCTGTCGTTCTGTCGGCATATTCCGAAGTCGCCGCAGAGGTTGTGCACGTCGCTGCAAGCTTCCTTTATGTCGCACGCCTCCCCTGTGTAGCCTTCGTCGCAGATGCACGTCACGTTGAGAAATTCGTCGTCGAGGTCGCAGTTTCCGTGCGCGCACGGGGAGTTGATGGGTAGACATGGGTTCTCGACGTTGCAATTTACTCCGACGTAGTTGGCGTCGCATTGACACGTGTAGGCGCCGCCCTTCGCCAAACACTGACCGTTCTCGCACGGGTCGGGATCGCACGGGTCGTTGGCGGAGCAATCGTCGCCCGTCCAACCCTCGAAGCAAATGCACGTCGCTTCGGTCTCGCTTCCCGGTACGAGATGGCAATCGCCGTTAACGCAGGGGTAGGTCAGACAGGCGGACTGCTCGCAATTGTCGCCCGTGTACCCGGCCGGACAGTCACACTGGTACGTGCCGTCGTTGGCAGGGTGCAGCGTGCAAGTGCCCTCGTTTTGGCACGGGTTAGGCAGGCACGGGTCATTAATTTCGCAGTCAACGCCGATCCATCCGGCTTCGCAATTGCACTTGTGACACGTAGGTATGGTGTCTATGCACGTGCCGCCGTTCAGGCAATAACCAACGGCGTCGTCACAGGCGCCGTCTGTGAATGTGGGAGCGCCTAGGAAAAAATCAAGGAAGCAGCCGCTTATTAGAGTATACACACGCACGCGCACGCACGCACGCACGCACGCACGCACCCACGCATATATATATATATAATTAAATAATAATATATAATTTAGTATATAATTTCATATGCATAAACAAGGAAGTAGGGGCCTACATGTGGATAAACCATTTTCTACGGCAAGCAAACCCGGAAGTTCTTAGCGAAAGTCCGAATACATTGAAACAAAACAATACAATTAACAACTATACAGATGCAAAGAATAATTCAAAGCCTAGCATAACGTAAGTGAACGATCTAGAGAGATTAATGTAAAGTCACGTATGTTTAAAAATGCGAATCATCACTTATTATTAGATATACTATTATTATAATTATTATGATATAGTAATATTCGATAATATATCTACTAAAAGGGAAACAGATCCATTTTTTGTTAGCTATGTTTCTCTGAACTCATGCTCGAATTGATTTGAAATTGCTTGACTGTAGAACGATTGCATTACACTCAGTTAGAGTAGATATTGCGCATCTTTTAACCGGTGAAAACACCGATAAAGTTGAATTTGAAGCCGTTTTATTTAAGCACTGATGTGTTACGATATCGTATACGGCATATACGAATCGACGCACTACAATGTAGTAACGGTGTGTTTACAAAAAACAGCTTGCGTACGGCGCTGGGATGCCAGTAGGGTAGCACGCTTGCCTCACCACATCTTCACGTTTCAGTTCAGTGGCGTTTCAGGTTTCGGGTTTCGTATTGGGTGTAACGGGTCTAGCCCTCAGTTTCATACGTTTATTCGCTGCGCAACTTTAAGATAAGTTTTCCGAAATATCAATATGCCTAGCTGTTTCTCAATTAAACAATATAGTTCATTTGGTTTCTTGTCCTAAACAAATTAATTTCATCTAACAATTGCGATGCATGTGCATACTGTTCAGTATTTATTGCATGCTGTCAGAAATGAGAATTGGCCACATTAATGCAGTTGGAAAATCACACTCAATTGATTTTTTATTAAATTGACATTACCAGAGGACTTCGACAACAAGTCCGAGCAGTTGTTATTGACTAGGGCAGGCTCATAAATAGGTAAAATAAACATGATAACAATAGTCATGATAACAATCGTATTACTATGAAAGGAAAAGCCATTGTTTTGGTAGCTATTTCTACTGAATAACGGTCCGGATGATTTCCAAACTGCTCTGACTGAAACGATGCAGATTACCACCCAATCAGCTATATTGTCGCACTTTTCAACGATGAAAACAGATAAAGTTGAATTTAAGCCGCTTTATTTAACACTGGTGTACCCAGATACATACCGCGTATATCGATCGAGCGTCACTACGTACGAATGTAGTACGTGTTCTGTTAGACAGCTTGCGCTGTGGAGCTATGTTGTCTCTGAATCTGCTCGCCGATGATTTCAAAATTGCTTGACTTGTAAGCGATGCATTACACTCATAGAGTAATATTGCGCACTTTGCCAATGATGAAAACAGGATAAAGTTCAAATTCGAAGCCCGTTTTATTATTAACATGCGTAAAATAGCATACCTGTATTGACGACTACGATTATACAATGTGTACTGCGTCCGTTGGCAAGGTTGGCTGTGGCGCATTGCTGCCCATAGGGGTAGCCGCGTCCTCATACGTCTAGGAGTCGTGAGTTTTGAAAACTCCGACAGCGGCCGTAAATAAAAAAAGCATTTATTTCTCGTTAGGCGCGCAACTTCTTTCTTTCATCTAAATATATATGCATATTAAAATATATTTATTAAAATGTTATACTTAAAAGGGCAAACAGCAGATTTTTATTAGGCTAAGTTATTTCTAAGTTAAGGAATTCCTCTCATGAGGACTCCCTGGGATAATATGTCAATATCCGACAAATGTGCCTCCACCACATCTTACGTTCGGTTGGAGTTTGACGCAGAAAATTTGTAGTTAAGTTAATACACGTTAAATACCTTTATCTCTCGCACTGTGGGTAGACGTATTCCGAATCTCAATATGCCTGTTTCCTTGAATGAACAAATCATAGTTCGTAGATGCCTACACAAACACAGTTTACAGTTTTGCCAGTTCCGATTAAATCACACCACATTGGTCTAAGTAAAATAATCAATTTGATATTTTTTACAATGTAATTAAATTTGAGTCGCCCCAACCTTTTTTTGAAGGCGTCTGTCGGACTCGCTCTAACTGTCAACGAAGCTGCCCATTTTCCTGTGGATTTCTTGATTCCTTAATACGCAAAGCTTTACCACACACAAACTTATCGGTAAACTTCGGTTTTCTTCCCATCATTGCCTCGAGTTTTCGACCCACCCAACATCACCAGCTGGAAACACGTTATCCGTCAAACAGCTCCATGCACACGTCATTAGACCGTCGCCATCTACATGGACTAGCAGCTGGCAAAACTATATGAATACCCACGCTATCACTCATCCCTTCAGCATCAGATCTTCCTATGTCATTTAAAGACTGCAATTCCGATCCGTCTTTGATATGCGCTATGACAAATATAGTACAGATCAGGACTTAGGTCGAATATCATCTAATCGTTCAAATGTGAAAAAGGTAGAAATGTGGTGTACACTTGCATAACTTTGTATGCTCTTTCATTTAAAAGCAGGAAAACACCGCGAGCCCTACAACCATTCGGCCGCGATATTGTTCAAAAATGGCCGCGCGTCCATTTCTTAAAAAATAGCTACTATCCGGTTAATAATCTTGTACAGACTTCGAAAATTGACTGACAGACGTCTTTGGGTTACTATTTCATACAGACACCGCATGATGCTGATCAGGGCGTTTTCGGCCGCAACTTAGATTCAAAAAATGGCCGCGTCATTTCGTTAAAAGGCTGGATATGTCGGTTACATAATCTTCGTACAGACTGTGAAAATTGACTGACAGACGGAATGAGATTTACCTATTATCACTACAACAACGTGTATGCATGTGATCCAAGGGCGGTTTTCCGGCACCTCTCTAAATTCAAAATGCCGCCGTCATTTCTTAAAAAAATAGCTAAGTATCTCGACGTAAATAATCTTAGTACAGACTTTAAAATTACTGACAGACGCCTAATTTTGGTTTAAT